GCCTCTTAATGCAGCCCCAGATTTACTGTGTAACTTTACGGGTAAACAATGTAACATAAAATGCAATCTGTGTAACTAAAACCTAACCTACGTTTTACTTCGCTTCTTGGCTAAGATATATTTATCTTTATTTTAAAAGAAATAATTTACAAAGTATGTACTAGTAGGTGTCACTACTATTTAAAAAAATACAACAGTGATTTAGGAAAACCACTATACGCGCACAAATCTTACAAATAAATGTTGTGTAAGAGAAAATTAACACGTTTTCAGTCACTAATTTTCAGTTTACCCTTTTCAAATCATTGTCCTGTAATAAACAAAATTGCATTGCCTACATGAGGCATTGAAGTGAAATTTTATTTTCATTCAATTTTAACGAACTTTAGGCACTTATGAACATAACATAAATAAGAGAGCCCCTCTTTTGTACATTTATTTTATTTATTTAATTAGTACTTACTTGCACATAACACTGTACATAAGGCGGACTTACATTAGATGTCTCCTTACTATCATAATTGGGTTTCTATAAATAAATAAATAAATTGGGCTCTACGAGCTCATGGATTAAGTTTGCTAATCTAGATTAGTGACTGGTCACTAAACATTAATTAACAGCATTTAACAAGCCTAACCCTCAACTAAATGAAATGGAAAAGTAATCAAATGGGTGCTCTTATTTATTCTCTCGTTAAGCTAAACTAAAAAGTTTGCGAAATAAATGTTATTCGGGATTTTAAAGCATACTGTTCCTTTTTACGAACGGATACATTTCAAAAGTTCGTTTACAAATACATTCAACTGAATTTATTCCTACTTGCATACTTAATAAAAAGTAGGAAACCGGGGCTGAAAGTGCCGGGGGTAAATTGTTCCGATGCAAAATATCTCGACAACAGAAAGAATTAGATATGTGATCGTATTATGTCGCATGTGGCCAACTGTTGGGCATTATACGAAATAATCACATATCTAATTCTTTCTGTTGTCGAGATATTTTGCATCGGAACAATTTACCCCCGACACTTTCAACCCCGGTCTCCCCTACAGATACTGGATAGAGGCAGGTTGCGTCCAATTTTAAATATTGGAAGAGGCCTATTTTCAGCAATATTTGGTCTGTATATGTAGGTACCTATCTGAAAAGATGAGATCATAGAGATTTCGTATTTGGTGCTTCGTACTGACTTTCGTATTTCGTAGTGATGACCGATGGACAGCAAAGTTCTTGAGTGGAAGCCACGTACCGGATAACGCAGCGGGGGACCCACAAGGTGGACCGATGACCTGATAAAGGTAGCAGAAAGGCGCTGCGCTACCAACCAGGCGATATGGAAATCATTGGGGAAGGCTTATGATCAGCTGTGGACGTCCTGTGGCTGAAATCATGACGATGATGATATTTGGTGCTAAATTACTTTTTGTAACAGAAGTTAATAATCGTGTTGCTCGCACAAAACAACAATCCGCTTTAAGCCTACTTTGTTATCTAAGCAATCATGTTCAGCCAGCCGGCTCAGACGAGATTTGTGAAGCTGTCCAAATGCTAGAAAGTTGTAAAGATTGAGCCAATTTCAAATAAATAAATTAGCTAACAGTGGACGTCATTCGGCTGAAACGAACGAACGAAATTAGCTAAAAAGATTTGCCGTTTTTCTTGTAGATTCACTTTTACTGAAGGACAATTTGATTTGAGACATTGCAAAAACAAGAAATTTACTTTGTAATAGAATTTAACATTTAACTTTTTAATGAAATTCTACACTTATTACTTTTGTAAATCGAACATTGATACTACAAGACTAATAAATTAAAGACATCATGATATTCACGATAACTAATAACAAATAACTTTTAATCTTATTTTTATAAATAAAAAATGTCTCTCCAAACCATCTGGCCAGCGTAGGGACTTCATTCATGCAGTGTTAATGATGATAAATAAAAAAATATTTCCCAAATAGAATTCTACAAGATTATCATTTGATTTGTGGCTTTATACGTGTATTTCTCTACTCATTTAATTCTCCTGATCATTAATATCGAACACATTCGCAGATAGCACTTCAGCGAGTCTCGTCACGTCACAAAAATCGTACGTGCCGTGCCATCTTGATTCCGTGGCTCTTGACGCGTTCAAAGGCGGTTATTCTGCGGAACGATATTAGAAGATAAAACCATAGGACTAGCAGAGAGTACCTTTACTATGTAAGGTATTTGGTTCACATATACAAAGAAGATGTTGCAACGTCCATAAAAAAATACCCCACGTTGGACAGCTGAGAAAAACATATCAAAAGATAGGTACATTAAATAATAAATAAATAATAATCTTCTCTACAGGAGCAATCACGTTCTCTCTCATTACTAGAGGCAAATGGAAGATTTGGCCAATACCTGTGACGCTGGCCAAATGGATTGGAGAGACGAGTGGACTTACAACACGTCAAAAATTACTTTATGTAGAGGTTCCCAAATTAGTTTAGTGGCACCGAAATGAGTACTTCTGCACCTTGAAGGACACACAAACATGTGAATTGCTAAAAGTGTCCCACAAGGTCACTGGACTCCCCTTGAAAGATTTGTCTAAAACAATGAGCTTTTGTATCCGTGATTTCGTGTAATATCGTTTTAATATCGTCCAGTCATCATGACAGCCTTATTTCCTTGACGCGCGATATGTTGACGATATAACTATAATAAGATCCCCGGATTACGCTCAGGTGTGTGATGATGTACTTCCGAATATGTTACATAATTCAGTGAATATTCGACGTTACCACGTTGACTTAGGAATTAATTTTCAGCGGCAAATTTAGCACCTGCATATTGAAGTTTGCTGAAGCAATATTCAGCGTGTATTAATTAATTTTGGTTGCTTTATACTATAATTATGACTTGAGTTATTATGTTGGAGCTAAAATGAAAGCTTTTGGTGAATTTAATCTAAAATTATAGTGTAACTAGCTGTGCCCGCGACTTCGTTACGTGTGAAAATAGTTTGAATAATATTTCCGTTTTTGCAATATTTTTCTTTACTGATCCGCCCCTATTGGCTGTAGTTTGATGTTATACCATAAAACTTTCTTCGATAAAATTCGATAAACACAAAAAAGTTTTTCAAATCAGACCAGTAGTTCCTGAGATTGGCGCGTTTAAGCAAACAAGCTTTTTCAGCTTTATAATATAAGTAAGTTTAGATTTTGAAGTATAAGATAAATTCAGAGAACTGCTCGTGTATCAATAATATACCTACTACCTATTTCCTGAGACTGAGTTTGTTGCGGCGCTTCTTCTCAGCACTTGCCAAATGTTGGTCTCGAAGCGCTGGTAGGGTAAAAAGATTATGAGACATGTAGAGGCTCCTTCAGAGCTAAATATTTGACGATTTGTAGGAAATACTATTTAAAAATAGTCTATACAAATAAAGAAATTTTGACTTTGAATTGGAATTTGAATGTGTAATCCATTTAAAACCAAACACTAAAGAAGCACTTACCAAAATGAACCTATTAGCCGACACACCAAGGAAAGCTCGGAAATGCAGAGGCGTCAACAAAAAGCTTTCGCGAGCTTTGACGCGTCACTCGGAAATTTAATCAATGACGCGCGTCATTCCCGTCAAACGTAATGACGGGCAAATATTTACGCCAACGTCTGACCTTTGCATTGTTTGTATTGACGAACGCGTCGACATTTTGAGTATTTGTAAAGCTTGGAAGAAGAATGGTGGTAATAAGGGTGCTGAAAGAGTTACAGTTGCATAATGGTGTTGGTAAATGAGAACGCAACCATTATAATTCTTTATGTTGGCTTTATTGTTTAGTTTGAAGTTTCATGTTGGCAGCACTTTTTTCTCTCTCTCTCTCTCTCTCGCCATCTTTCTTCCTGTAAATGTGTGAAGTCTAGAATATAATACGTTTGTTAATATTACCGAGTTCCAATGGTTTTCCCCGAAATATCAACAATTAATGGCTACCTCTGTGGGTGTTTAAAATGCGAAAACCATACAAATGAGCTTTATTTGCATATACATATTTTTTGTGTATCATGTGAAAAATATTACATTTGTGTACAAAGTACAATAAGTCACGAGTAATTATGTAGGTCATGCAAACGCTGCAATATTTAATTTTATTAACTTGAAGCATTCGCCGATCAGTTCTACACAAGTTCTCAACCTATTAATTAGTGTGCACACAATTGTCAAGATTTATATTGTAATTATCTTAAATAAATAATCAAGAGTTTCAAGAGTTTCCTTCTATCAAGACAACTACAACACAACTACAACACATATCTTGTACCATCGCGTACATAGTGGTCCTTCGAGCAAAACTGGTGTTTTTGTGGTTTTTGTGTGGTTGCGAATCGGCTCACTGGCCTCCCGGAAGAGGGTCTCACCGGTTGAGTTGAGAAGGCGCATAAAAGACCATACGAGGGCTGCAGAAGCACCAAAAACGAACAAGCGAACTAGGAACCAAGTCCTACAATACAAGTCAAGAAACAAGAACTAGGAACCAAGTCCTACAATACAAGTCAAGAAACAGGAACCAAGTCCTGCCAAACAAGAACTAGGAACCAAGTCCTACAATACAAGTCAAGAAACAAGAACTAGGAACCAAGTCCTACAATACAAGTCAAGAAACAAGAACTAGGAACCAAGTCCTACAATACAAGTCAAGAAACAGGAACCAAGTCCTGCCAAACAAGAACTAGGAGCCAAGTCCTATAATACAACAAGAGCCTGGAACCAAGTCCGGCTTTATTCAAGCTACCAAGAGCTACAAATCAAGAAACCGGTACGTACCTCAAGTCAAATCAAGCCAAGTGTTAGAACTCAATCAAAACAAGAAAAACAAGTCAAGTGTTAGAACTCAATCAAAACAAGAAAAACAAGTCAAGCCAAGTGTTAGAACTCAAACAAAACAAGAAAAACAAGTCAATCAAAACAAGTACTGAAACTCAACAACAAGTAACGTTTAAACTACCTAAACATGGACGTCGAAGCCTGTTTAGAAACACAACAACAACTAATAGATGCTATGAAACAACTATTGGTCAACTTCAAAAAAGACGGCGCTGATCGAAAGACTTCTGAAAACATAAAGAGACGCATTGATACGTTAGATCGTTATTGGTGTGAATTTCAAAACAACCACAGTAAACTGTGCCAGACCTTAGATAGTAACCATGACTATTTAGCTGGCAACTATTACGAAGACACTCAAAAATTTTATCAAGAAACAAGAGACTATTTCCAAAAATACATCTTAATCAAACCAGCAACTCCGATGACAATTCAAAAACCAAGAGAGCAACCCGAGGCGAAGGCTGGACCGTCAACACCAGCATCTGGAGCCAACAAGTTTGGGAGTACTAAACTACAAGAACAACAATTATCGCAAGGCACTAACAGCAAGCTGGATGAGATGATGAAAAAGCAATTTAGCAACTTCAAGGCGTTATCTCGCACTATATCTCAAATAAACATAGACAAGATCAACGACAAGTGGGAATTTGAAGATATATTGAAAACCTTACAAAACCGATGGCAAACAATAGATAAACTTCATTGGGAAATAGATTCTGAGCTAGATGGATCGGACTTACGTTATGAAAACGTATTCACAGAACAAGAAGAGTCATACAACGCTATCAAGAGATCTATCAACAGCAAGTTATGGTCCGTATCTCATCGAGACAAAATCACGCCACAGCTGGATATTCCTATTTACACTGGAAATTATCAACAATGGGTATCATTCAAGGATCTGTTCTGTGAAGCTGTCCACAACAACCCATCCCTGTCAAACGCCCAAAAAATGCAGTTTCTCAAGAGTAAACTCAGAGGTGAACCTGAACGCCTGATACAACACCTGCAAATCAGCTCTGAAAATTACACAACATGCTGGGAAATAATTAGTCATCGTTACAACAACAAGAAGCTAATATTTACTTCATACATGAATACTATTATGAATATTCCCAACATAATACAACCAACTTCAAGCCACATCAAACGCATTCATGATGTAACAATGGAGTGTCTGAATGCTATAAGTAACATGGGAGTTGACATAAGCACATGGGACCCCATATTTGTTCACATCTTATCTCAGAAATTAGACGCTGAAACACATAAGGAGTATATGAGCTCCTTAAAACAGCCGAGAGAACTGCCAATAATTGCCGAATTCCTGGAATTTTTAGAACACAAGTTTACCACAATGGAGTCAGCGCGTCGTAAACAAGAAGGCATGACCCAAAAAACAAGCTCAACAAACGGCCCAACTCAGGGTAGACACTATCAAGAGAAACCTAATTATAACAAACAATATTACTCTACAAACAAGACTGTTACGCAATCAAATAATTTTTCATCAAACACCAAATTGAAATGTCCATCATGTGAGAGTACCGACCATGGGATCTACTACTGCAAGACATTTCAAGAGATGAACCCGCAACAAAGAAAACAAGTAGTTTCTAGAAATAATCTTTGCATAAATTGTCTTAAACGTCATCATGGAATTTGTGCATTAAATAAGCGATGCAGAGAATGCAACGAGTGTCACAATACATTATTACATGACGCATATTCAAAGTTCAATCACCCGAAGCCGAACGTGACAATGAAGTCCGCCGCAACTGAATCAAGTCAGCGAAAATCAAGTTCGCACGTGTCTGGTCAACGTGAAGCGCCGGAAATACTTCTTGCCACAGCTGTAATCAAGGTTGAAGGAATTGATGGAATATTTAAAAACATGAGAGCCCTAATCGATCCCGGTTCCCAAATTTCCATCATCACTGAAAATGCGGCACAGCAGTTAGGACTGCCGCGCCAACAATGCAGTGGAATTATAACTGGAGTCGGCACGAAAGACACTACGTGTAAAGGGAAATTAAATATACATTGTTCATCTACAACAGAAAACTACAAGTTCAGAACAGAAGTCTTCATCATGAAAAAATTAACAAGAGACTTGCCGAATTGTACATTTACTAAACCAGAGTTAAGTTATTTGGACAATCTACAACTAACCGATCCCGAATTTCACATCAGTCGCTCTATCGATATCCTGTTGGGAGCTGATGTATACTCACACATTTTACTGGAAGGAATACGAAAAGTAGACAATGATAGACCGGTGGCACAACAAACCTTACTCGGTTGGATATTATATGGCAAGATACAAACATTACAATGCAATATCGTATTAAATAAAATAGAAGACATACAAAGATTCTGGCAAATAGAAGATTTACCAGACCATCAGCCAAACCTATCTTCAGAAGATCAAGAATGCATGGACATATATACGACTACAACAACAAGATTGAAAGATGGAAGATATCAAGTTCGACTACCCTTCAAAAACAACATCAACGAGATGGGAGATTCAAAACGAAAAGCAACAGCGCAGTTCCTACAACTAGAAAAGAAATTTTATAATAATACTCAAATCGCCAGCAAATACAAGTCATTCATGGACGAATACCAAGAACTAGGTCACATGAAACTTGCATCGGACAAATCAACACAAGAGTATTTTTTACCACACCATTGCATTATTCGTGACTCAACAACTACGTCACTTCGTGTGGTATTTAATGCATCTCAAGCTACTACAAATGGAAAAAGCCTAAATGATTACATGCATAAAGGCCCTAATCTTCAAAACGACCTATTTGAACTCATCTTAAAGTGGCGACAATACCCGATTGCTCTTACTGCCGACATTGAGAAAATGTTTCGACAGATTATGGTTCACCCTGAAGACCTCAAATACCAAAAAATTCTCTGGCGAGACTCTCCACGTGACGTACTGCGCGAATACGAGCTGTGTACAGTGACGTGCGGCACCAAGGCCGCGCCGTTCCTCGCGATGATGACGTTACGACAGTTGGCTGCGGACGAACGGGACACACACCAAGAAGCGGCTCATGTAATAGAAACAAGCTTTTACATGGACGACTTAATTCACGGGTCCCATTCAATAGAATCAGCGTTACAATTAAAACAAGATTTGAAACAACTTCTTCTACGAGGAGGCTTCAACTTAAGAAAATGGACCTCAAATTGCAAAGAATTACTACAAGACGATCAAGTACTGTAAATCAACTCAAACACCAATATTCTGCAAAAACACTTTTATTAATATTTAGCTACATTACCTACACAATCTCACCATCGTAATAATTATTATATCTCAATTTTCTATAGTGAAATCATATTTATTAATAATTGAAATGATACTTTACTCTTTTACAATATTACCAATTTAAAATAAAAATCACTTATAAAAATAATAATTGTACTTTGTTTTTTTTTTTTAAATAATAATAGCTTTCAGCAAGACAAGGTGAGTGTTACTAGCTCGACGCTTCGACAAGGAATGGTCGAGTGGCCGCTCGTTGTTCGAATGACGTCTCGGTGTCGCCCTCTAGCGGCGGCAAATTGTACTTCCGGGCGGAAACGACTGTGGCGACAACANAGACCAGCTGTGGTTCCATCGTCAGATAAACTATTGGACAAATTTAACCATTTCCTGATCTCACAAGAGGTAGAAAATGCAGGTTTGAGAACTGCACGTCTTCCACTACTATCCGTTGCACAAAATGCAACGTTAATTTGTGCCTTGTTAGGAATAAAAATTGCTTCCTAGCATGTCATACCACAAAATTTTCTATTTGATTAATATTGTTACTAAGAAGACTGATTTGTTTCATTAAAAATGGTAGGAAATATTTTTGTTTGTTTTTGATTAATGTTTTTGTTCAATAAAGGTGTCATTATTATGTTACTCAAAGTAATTCTGTTCTTAAGTCTAAGCATATCGAAAATGCTAGATATTTTTTTTAAATCTTGTCATTAAAATGTAATTAATATGCGAGATTAAATACTTATGTTGATGAGACTGATAAATCGGGCTATCTATACTTATAATAAATCTGTAGAGAGGTCAATTCTGTACATGAAATATATTTTCAAAATAACTATCAGGGGGTGATTAGTGATCGATACTGATGCCAAAAATGCAATCAGTAAAATTTTTGTCTGTCTGTCTGTCTGTCTGTCTGTCTGTCTGTCTGTCTGTCTGTCTGTCTGTATGTTCCTTATAGAAACAAAAACTACTGGACGGATTTTAACGAAACTTGGTACAATTATTCTTCATACTCTTGGGCAGGTTATAGGATACCTAGGAATTCCCACGGGAACGGGCATTAGCGGGAAAATCCTTTTGTATGAAAAATCTAAACCGCTTAAGTTAGACGCTTGAAATTTGGCAAGCAGGTACCTTAGTAAACTTAAAGCTTCGTTATAACAGGATATTGCAAAATTCCTACAGGAACGGGAATTAGCGAGAAAAAAACATTTGTATGAAAAAATCTAAGCCATGTAAGATAGACGCTTGAAATTTGGCATGCAGGTACCTTAGTAAATTTAAAGCTTAGTTACAACAGGATATTGCAAATTTCCCACGGAAGATAGATGAAGGGGGTAAAACGGGATCCACGCGTACGAAGTCGCGGGCGGCCGCTAGTAATAAATAAAGTACTTATAATTAAACAAACTTTGTATGATTTATTATGGAATGCACGATCCTGCGTTAGCGGAGTAGAACCTGGAACGCACGTATATGCGATGTCTATTGGGGGGAAACTAGAGGGGGGNAGTACTAGAACAACAAGAAAACTACGATTTCAAACAAGCAACATCAACATCTACCAAAGCACTGGGACTGCGTTGGAACCCTGAACAAGATGTATTTATTTTTCACACAACAATCGAGAACATTGAAGATAATACAAGCAATAGCAAAAGAAAACTTTTATCAGACATATCCAAATTATTCGATCCACTAGGCTGGCTGACCCCAATATCCACGAAATTGAAATTGTTATTCCAGAAAATATGGGAAACTAACATCGGATGGGATGACAAAATTCCAGAAGAAATTAATTCAGAGTGGATTAAAATAAAACAAGATTTAAAAAACATAAATGAAATAACGATACCTAGATGGCTCGGTACTACCACTGACCTAGATATCGAGTTACATGGATTCAGTGACGCATCGCAGAAAGCGTATGCATGCGTCATATATTACAAGAAACGAAATAACCAAAAGTCTACAATCAATTTAGTTGTGAGTAAATCAAAACTAGTACCTCGCAACAAAGATAATATCTCGCTACCCAAATTGGAGTTATGTGGAGCACTATTACTAGCAAGATTAATGCAGAAAGTTATACAATGCCTGTCTAACTACAATATCAAAATCTATGGATACGTCGACTCGACAGCAGTGCTTGGATGGCTGCAAGGAAATCCCGACCGCTGGAAAACATTTGTGTCGAACAGAGTAAACAAAATAACAGAAGTAATGCCCTCCAACTGCTGGAAATACGTAAAATCCGCTGATAACCCTGCTGACTGTGCTAGCCGTGGCTTCACAGTAACACAACTACTACAACATAATCTATGGTGGCACGGCCCCTCGTGGCTATCTGAAAACAACACAGATACCCCTTTCAGCANGATACACAAGAAATTACAAGATATGAAACAAATCAAGAAGCTAAAGAAATAAAGCAAGTTAATGTCACAGTACAAAAGGACAACAGCATCATCAAAAATATTCTAAACAAATACAGCAATCTATCTCGAGCGATTCGCGTGCTGGCATGGATACGCCGCTTCATAATAAGAGAAAATAACATACCTAAAAGAGAATCATATTTGACGCTGACTGAATTAAAGGAAGCAAAAACGATGTTTATCAAGGAGATACAGGCTGAAGACTTTAATGAAGAAATCAAGAATTTAACTTCAAATAAGAAAATATCAAGCAAAAGCAAAATCATCCATCTGAACCCGTTTTTGGATAAACAAGGAATCTTAAGAGTTGGTGGAAGACTGCAACACGCCAACATTAGTGAAGAAATGAAAAATCCTATCATACTACCTTACGGAGGCCAGCTAACTGAGTTGATAATTGAAGAAGCCCATAAGCTAACCTTTCACGGTGGACCTCGGGTCACCTTGGCTCTTCTTCGACAAAAATACTGGCTGATCAGTGGAAACAGAGCTGTCAAGAAAATAACACGAAGATGCACTGTATGTAACAAACACAATCCAAGAAAACAAGAGCAGATAATGGGCGACCTACCTCAATCAAGAGTCAACCAATCGCGCCCATTCCAACATACAGGAGTAGATTTTACGGGTCATTTCTTCATAAAAGCCAACAAGGGCAGAGGAATTAAAACAACCAAGGCGTATGTGGCAGTGTTTGTGTGCATGGCAACCAAGGCCGTGCACCTGGAGTTAGTGTCAGATTTGACCACCTCCGCATTCATTGCTGCGCTTCGAAGGATGGCAGCGCGAAGAGGCAAGCCCAGTCACATGTATAGTGACAACGGGTGAAACTTCGTGGGCGCCAGTAGAGTACTGCAAGAAGAATATCAAGAAATAATACAAGTATTCAACGAAGAATTCAAGAAAGAGATAACAGACATGGAGATCACGTGGCATTTCAATGCCCCGTCCTGGCCATCAGCAGGTGGATTATTTGAAGCCGCAGTCAAAAGCTTCAAATACCACTTTAAACGTGTAGTAGGCGAACAGAAACTTACCTTTGAAGAATTCTATACTTTGTTGACCCAAATAGAAGCCTGCTTAAACTCAAGACCTCTATGCGCCTTATCAGAAGACCCAGATAACCTGGACTTCCTAACACCGGCACATTTCCTAACCGGCGGGCCTCTCTTAACAATAGTCGAAACGGAAAGAGACATGAGAACAAGATTGCAACTAACTCAAAAAATATATCAAGACATTTGGAAGCGGTGGCGCTCCGAATATCTGACTCAATTATCGTCAAGAAGCAAATGGACACAACCATCTGAAAACATAAATCTAAATGACGTGGTGATCATTCAAGACGACAACCTGCCGCCAGGCAAGTGGCTCATGGGCAGAGTCGTTGAACTTCATCCAGGACAAGACGGTTACGTGCGAGTAGTTACACTGAAAACCAAAAGTGGACTCATTAAACGCCCTGTAACGAAAGTAGCAAGATTAATAAAACAGCAAGAGAACGACAATCACGAACAACAAAACGAAATCAAAAACACTAGAAAGCAAGAACCTAAACAAACAACAAACAAGACACCAACGAGAAAACACACTACGTCATCAATACTAGCAGCATGTTTACTATTTATGACACTGATGACGGGAGCAGAAAGCAAAGTGAATATTACAAAATTTCGAGAAAATCAAGGCCTATATTTTGACAAGATTTCAAACATGCAACTAATAAAAGATGAATGGAAACTCATCGTATATTACAACATGGAACCTTATGAACAGGGCATTACAGCTCTAAATACCTACCTAGAAAACTTAGATAAAACATGTTCGTCATTACACGATCAAGCATTGTGTCATGCAGTCCTACTCCAATTACGTCACGGCCGCGATGAACTTGAGTACTACGATCAGCTGTTGCTGAGCCGACAAATCACCACGCAGCCAACACAGCGACGTAAGCGCCGGGGCCTTATCAATGCCATTGGATCCATTGCAAGTGACCTATTCGGCGTATTAGATGAAAGATTCGCCGAACAATACAAGAGAGATATCAGCTTACTACAAAACAATCAAAAACATATGATTCAGCTATGGAAGAATCAAACGTCTATAGTAGAAGCAGAAAATAATCTATTGAAACGAACGGAAGATATAATTAACCAACAACACAAAACATTAAATCAACACATAAATTCCTTAGAAAAGGCCATAAACCAGTTAAAAGGCGCAACAGAAGGCAATATGATCCTAAATAACTTTGCTATAGGGGCGATTATAGCAAGCAATATGCTTGCCAGTTTAAAAAACCTACAAAACAATTTATTGGATACAATTACCGACACCCATCAAAATCGTTTCAACTTACACTTGATGACTCCAGAACAACTGATGGAAGAATTAAGCACGGTCTCCAGTCAGCTACCAAAAGATGTAACTCTACCCATAGAAAACGTCCATTCGGACTTACGCAAAATATACAATCTTCTCAAGATAAGAGCACGGATGCTGGAAGATTATCTCATCTTTGAAATTAGAATCCCGCTCATCAGCAGAGACAGCTACGAGCTTCTGAAAGTCATTCCAATTCCCAAGATTCAAGATGAGAAATCGATAAGTATAGTTCCTGTCTCCGAGTATGTATCTATAAACATGAAAAAAGATACTTACATACCTATGAGTGAGAGTGACGTCAATGCCTGTTTACTGCAGTTTGATATGCACTTCTGCCACAGTTGGAAACCAGAATATCAGTTAAATGAAGACAAGAACCTATGTGAAATAGAACATTCTGAATGCAAAACGCAAGTAAACCCGTGCAAAAACACATGGCAAGAAAGTTACGCCACAAACACCTACATTTACTTTTGTTGTAAACAATGCAACGTCAGAGTTATGTGCGGCGATCAAGTGACCGCGCATCAATTACAAGCCGAAGGTCTAGTTACCGTAGGTCATGGTTGCATCATAAAGACGGATAAGCTGTCTATATTTCCACATAAAACACACTCCAGCGAATTCAAGATCTGGCCTAATGTATACATCCCTAAAATGGCACCAATTAATAATATAATCAACATAACGATACCGCATCTTACGATTGAAAACAAATCCGAAGAATTGAAACAAGAAGCTGAAAAAATAGAAGAGAAGATCAAGATCGCAAAGGCGAAAGGAGACGAAGTCCTAATCGAGGCAGATAATCTATCATTACACGATATACACCATTATGTCATGATATATGTCGTGGTAAGCATCGCCGGTATAATTGGTGTGATNAATCTTATGCATCATCAATATATTATTATTATCTCTGATAGATTTTTTTAACACCTACAACCTGACACTGACTTGCAATCAATGTAAGAAAATTTGAATTTTGCAGTGCCACATTTTTGGGAAGGATAAAATTTGCCTATGAAAATATATCCCATTAAAACACAATTATTATGATAAATTATTTTTTTTCAATAGTATGCGTAATAAATAACTAAAAAGTCCTAAAATTATTATTAATTTCCCATATTTCGGGTAATTTTCCCACGTAAATAACTGAGAACACTGGTCTTTGATGTATTATTTTTTCGAGTGAATGACGTTTGATTTCAATTAATTTCAATATTTTAATGTCGGGAAACAAGTGATCGGATTATTATTTTGCCTGTGAAATGTGATTCCTTAATTTTTGTTTGTTCGAACAGAACGGTTTTTACACAATTTCATCACACAAGACATGTCGTATTCGTGTTGTTTTTTCGCCGCCTAAATGTGTCAACTGTGTGAAGTTTGCACTCGAAGTGGTGCGTCAGGGTGTGAATGTGTGCGTGCCGGCCTGTACGTACAGGCAAGCTGGTGTATCCTAATGTCACAGTATTTTGTTGATGAGAATCCGTCCGACTTTTTTTATAGGTCCATGCATCTAACGTGTTTTCCGAAGCACGAAATCTTTTTTACATTCATATCCAGGTTTCAATCTTGCGTTATCCCAACCAAAGTTCCCACACCCGTATGGAGATTCACCATTCAGTGTACAGGAATTTAATCTTTATGCCCAACCCGAACCACTAGACCAAGGAAACTTTTCCGTGCCATTGTCGCACCACTCAAACATTGCGTAACAAGGCGCACTCAAAACCTCGTAGCGACCTCGTAGAGATTTTACGCCTTTTTGCCCCGGAAACAACTTGGGGTCCAGGACGTGCTAAGTGATAAAGCTTTATCCTCAATACGTTAGAGATATAATCGATAACGAGGTAGGTTTTGAGGATACATAGTTTCTTAAAATGAAACGGATATACCTATCTTAGTACAAGACTTATCAGAAAATTAATTTTATTTTTGCAAATAGCACTTTTACAGTTTTATCTTGTCACATCTACCTTCTATGTCATATTTACTGTTGTTCATCAACAATGTAGCGAATGCTTAACACCATTCAACAAAATTCTTATCTGTAAAAATAATCATTTAAGCTTGCATTGAAAATAATGATACCTATATAAGGTAAACGCACCAAGACTGGGGCGTTCATTACTGGGCAAACCCTGTTCATACTGGAAAAAAAAACTATTATTTGAGACAGATTCCTAATTTTACTATGAAAGATAAATGCTGTTTAATACCACCGGTATATCAAACATACCTTAGTACAAAATTAAGAACAACAAAGTTCTCAATTACATTAAATATTCAATGATTGCAGGACAAAAACATGAAATCTTAGCCTTAAAGTGACCATGACTGGTGCGCTTACCTTACTATGGTATTAACACATTTGGACAGCTGAGAAAACCTGAAATCCATTACAACACTGCATCAAATACAAAGCGTCAAGGGTTCGTGTCCTTTCTTCTACAGTCGGTTAAAAATGAATGCGCATTGTTAAACCCACAAGAAGCGGGACAGTCATTAAAGTAAATTGGAATCGAGCAAAACGGACGTGGATATGAGAAAACGCGATTTCCCAAATTGGGTGGGCTGGTTTGTCTGCATTTTTGCGGGATAATCAAAAATTCACCTGGGTTTAGCAAATAACATAAAATAGATCAGCCCAAAATATTAAAATAATTGTCACATTATAGTAACTAATAATTTAAAATGTGTTACATGGAAGTGCTTTGAATTAAACACAACTTAATATGATAGCATAGTTTTCAAAAAATATCATATTACACTGGTTAAAAACACAGTTTTATTATTAGCAGTTTTGTTTAAAATATTTCTATTTATTTATGCCTCAAGCTATAATGACCTTTTAGCATTAAATACTTTTTTATGGGTCTTCAGTAATTTCGCACCGAGTAATTTGAACCGCTGTTCGAATCGCCCAAGAACTTACTAGAGTGGCGACCATGTTACGCGTTACTTGTTACCTTGATTTTTTGTAAAACTTAAATGTAACTCAATACAGACCCCGTTCTGTAAGAGCCGTCACACATGATGAAGTGTGAACTCTATCTAAACGCGACACATGACGTGCTACATGTATCACGGTAATGGATGATGCTTTTTGTACAGCCGACAGCCCATCAAGCTAAACTCAGGCATCTTATGCAACTATAGATAGGTGCTATTTTGCGATGAAAATCTTTAGTCTAATGTGCTGCGGACTGTACAATGCGTCTCATAATAATCGTCATCATTTCAGCCATAGGACGTCCACTGCTGAACATAAGCCTCCCCCAATGATTTACACAACGGCGGCCTGCGTCCAGCGCCTTCCTGCTACCTTTACAAGGCATCTGAGGCTTCACTATTATACCTACGTATAGTAGCACATTATAACAACAATTTTAAGGGAAATTCGTGAAAGGATAGAGATACTCTATATTGCACAGTAACCAAAAATTAAAAAGGCACAATAACTTTACTGTTATAATGGTATTGGTCCTTTTCGGAGTGCGATTTATTCCAGACAGCCTGAGACTAGTAGGCCTAAGATGCGCGCCGTGATAACTTTTATCGACGTCAAAATGTATGGGGAAAATCGATAAAATAGCGTGATAACCGCTTATCGCGTCGCGCATCTTAGGCCTATAGGACAATATAAAACATTTCCAACCTACACAATAAACTAAAGTCTTAGGTACTCTTGAAGTTTATTTGACAGCACATGGACGTATTCTGTAATTTAATGTAGACCCACGTCAGACCACGCTTTCTATACCTTAGCTTTTAGGTTATACAGGGTGTTATTGAAAAGGTGTTCAGCTCAAATTCTGGTCTATTTGACCGCTAGGCTATCAAAATCACCGTTTGTATTTTTAATTTGTATACTAACTACTGGATAACTACTGGATAATGTACAAGACAAAAATCATGTCTAATGTCCGTGTCGCACCCACTCCTTTGAAGGTTGGAGACTCTACACTCGAAGTTGTTGACAATTATGTATCCTGGGACAAACAGTCCAGTTAGGTAGGGCCAACTTCGAGAAAGAGGTCAATCGTCGAATCCAACTCGGCTGGGCAGCGTTCGGGAAGCTACGCAATGTACTCACGTCCGAAATACCGCAGTGTCTCAAGACAAAAGTCTTCGAGCAGTGTGTGTTGCCGAAACGTGGTCGCTTACTATGGGCCTCATAAGAAGGCTCAAGGTCCGACATAGCTCGCAGAATTGCTAAAATCAAGTGGCAGTGGGCGGGGCTCATAGCTCGTAGAGACGATGGCCGTTGGGGCAGGAAAGTTCTCGAATGGCGNATGTATTATTATGTTCAATACAAACAATCATTAAGTTACACTCACCCCAACCGCGTCTCCGCATTGCATCGAATCCTATGAAAATGTGGTTTTTGGACATAGCGATACTTATTTTTCACAATTTTTATTATTAAAAATTACTGGTCGATAGGTTAATTTATTTTGATGAATAAATGTTATTAAAAGTTTTTTTCTAAAACTGATAGTTTAGCTGGAAAAAAATATTTTCCATCCCAATAGTACGCCGGCTGCACTCGATTCGGATATAGTGACGTCACGCGGCCCTGCGTACGTTGACTTTTAGCGGCAAAAACGGCCTATGTTTATTACTTAATATCTTCGTAAGTAATGGTCCGATTTGGATAATTCAAAAAGATATATCTTTCTTACGTCTTAAAGATTAACGTAAATACTAGTTTTATTGAATTTTCTACAACAGTACTGATCCTCATTGGTGTGATAATGATCATACGCCGATTGCGATGTAAATGGCATATTCCACCTTCGGTAGCCGAACCATCGATAATGATGAACGAATTGAACTCACCATCGCCTGTTGTCCAAGCTGCAGCAGCGCCGAGAAGCTCCAGAACTGCGCGACAAGTCGACGAGTACGCAGTTCTTGAAAGACAAGTAGATAGAAGCACATCTCCTGCACCGAAGAGGATCATCATCCCCCGTTCTCAGGCTGATCTTCATCAGTGAACAGTGCAGTGATGTTATTTTATAAGTTTTATTTAAGATAGTTTAGTTATGTACATGACATGTAAACATATTTAAGTTTTGTCAAGATTGTTCCCTCCCTATCCCTACTAACAACATCCCTATTCCGCGCCCCCGGAATATGTACAAAGTACAATAAGTCACGAGTAATTATGTAGGTCATGCAAACGCTGCAATATTTAATTTTATTAACTTGAAGCATTCGCCGATCAGTTCTACACAAGTTCTCAACCTATTAATTAGTGTGCACACAATTGTCAAGATTTATATTGTAATTATCTTAAATAAATAATCAAGAGTTTCAAGAGTTTCCTTCTATCAAGACAACTACAACACAACTACAACACATATCTTGTACCATCGCGTACAATTTGAAAATGGCTAAACACTATTGTTATTTGATTATTTTAGTCAATTGTTTCATAATCATAATTAATACAAGCTAGCAAAGTCTTTATACACAAATTAATTCTGTTTAAGTAAATCGATATTTTGTTTTTTGATAAACATAAGTAAGTACTCGTAAAACTATATCTACAAAACATTTCTATAATTTGATAGTCTCATCAGTACAAAATGGTACAAACCAAACGCAGATTAATTACTAGTACGAGTATAAGCTGTGCAAAGCACTAAATATAAAAGTCTTAGGTACAAACTTTTTTCTGTAGTTAATGTTAGGTACAATTTACAATAGGTACATGCTTCCTTTCACATCAACTAAATGCACAACTGACATAAAGCTCAATTGGACTGACGTATTGCGTGTTTTCCGAAGCACGAAATCTTTTTTACATTCATATCCAGGTCGTTTCAATCTTGCGTTATCCCAACCAAAGTTCCCACACCCGCATGGAGATTCGCATTCTCCATTCAGTGTACAGGAATTTAATCTTTATGCCCAACCCAAACCACTAGACCAAGGAAACTTTTCCGTGCCATTGTCGCACCACTCGAACATTGCGTAACAAGGCGCACTCAAAACCTCGTAGACACCTCGTAGAGATTTTACGCCTTTTTGCCCCGGAAACAACTTGGGGTCCAGGACGTGCTAAGTGATGTGAAGCTTTATCCTCAATACGTTAGAGATATAATCGATAACGAGGTAGGTTTTGAGGATACATAGTTTCTTAAAATGCAACGGATATCTACCAATCTTAGTACAAGACTTACCTATCAGAAAATTCGGGTTAGTAGTAGTTTCGCACGATTTTCCTTCGCGCGAATGTGCGAAACGTCCCCTTTCAAAAATATTTTTTTTTAGTAGGCGTTTCGCCCGAATGTTATTAAAAGTATTAAAATCGCGTGCGAATCGACTCTTTTTTGAACTATTAGTATGCGATTACTAGTTCTCAAAGGGGTCGATTCGCACCCGTTTTTAATACTTTTGAAAAATCCGGGCGAAACGCCTACTAAAAAAATTTTTTTTTAAAGTGGGCGTTTCGCACATTCGTGCGAAGGAAAATCGTGCGAAACTACTACTAACCCGAAAATTCATTTTATTTTTGCAAATAGCACTTTTACAGTTTTATCTTGTCGGATCTACTTTCTAATGTAGTATTTACTGTTGTTCATCAACAATGTAGCGAATGCTTGACACCATACAACAAAATTCTTATCTGTAAAAATAATCATTTAAGCTTGCATTGAAAATAATTATACCTGTATACTATGGTATTAACACATTTCGACAGCTAAGAAAACCTGAAATCCATTACAACACTGCATCAAATACAAAGCGAAGCGTCAAGGGGTTCATGTCCTTTCTTCTACAGTCGGTTAAAAATGAATGCGCATTGTCAAACCCACAAGAAGCGGGACAGTCATTAAAGTAAATTGGAATCGAGCAAAACTGACGTGGATATGAGAAAACGCGATTTCCCAAATTGGGTGGGCTGGTTTGTCTGCATTTTTGCGGGATAATCAAAAATTCACCTGGGTTTAGCAAATAACATAAAATAGATCAGCCCAAAATATTAAAATAAATTGTCACGTTATAGTAACTAATAATTTAAAATGTGTTACATGGAAGTGCTTTGAATTAAACACAACTTAATATGATAGCATAGTTTTCAAAAAATATCATATCACACTGGTTAAAAACACAGTTTTATTATTAGCAGTTTTGTTTAAAATATTTCTATTTATTTATCTGCCTCAAGCTATAATGACCTTAAGATTAGCTTTAAATACTTTTTTATGGGTCGTCAGTAATTTCGCACCGAGTAATTTGAACCGCTGTGCGAATCGCCCAAGAACTTACTAGAGTGGCGACCATGTTACGCGATAAGTACTTGTTCCTTGATTTTTTGTAATTAACTTAAATGTAACTCAATACAGACTCTATCTAAACGCGACACATGACGTGCTACATGTATCACGGTAATGGATGATGCTTTTTGTACAGCCGACAGCCCATCAAGCTAAACTTAGGCATCTTATGCAGCTATAGATAGGTGCTATTTTGCAATGAAAATCTTTAGATGTGCTGTCGGACTATACAATGCGTCTCATAATAATCGTCATCATTTCAGCCATAGGACGTCCACTGCTGAACATAAGCCTCCCCCAATGATTTCTACAATGCCAGTTGGTGGCGGCCTGCATCCAGCGCCTTCCTGCTGCCTTTACAATGCATCTGATCCTTCACTATTATACCTACGCAGCTACGTATAGTAGCGCATTATAACAGCTATTAAAAGGGAAATTCGTGAAAAGATAGATAAATACCCTTTATTGCAGTAACTAAAAATTGAAAAGGCACAAAAGCTTAATTGTTATAACGGCCTTACCGCTTCGCAGCGATTTATTCCAGACAACCTGAGACTAGGGCAATTATAAAACATTTCCAACCTACACAATAAACTAAAATCTTAGATACTCTTGAAGTTTATTTGACAGCACATGGACGTATTCTGTAATTTAATGTAGACCCACGTCAGACCACGCTTACTATACCTTATCTTTAAGGTAATACAGGCTGTCATTGAAAAGGTGTCCAGCTCAAATTCTGGTCTATTTGACCGCTAGGCTATCAAAATCACCGTTTGTATTTTTAATTTGTATACTAACTACTGGATAATGTACAAGACAAAAATCATGTCTAATGTCCGTGTCGCACCCACTCCTTTGAAGGTTGGAGACTCTAAACTCGAAGTTGTTGACAATTATGAATCCTGGAACAAACAGTCCAGTTAGGTAGGGCCAACTTCGAGAAAGAGGTCAATCGTCGAATCCAACTCGGCTGGACAGCGCTCGGGAAGCTACGCAATATAGTCACGTCCGAAATACCGCAGTGTCTCAAGACAAAAGTCTTCGAGCAGTGTGTGTTGCCGAAACGTGGTCGCTTACTATGGGCCTCATAAGAAGGCTCAAGGTCACCCAAAGGGCGATGGAGCGGGCCATGCTTGGAGTTTCCCTTCGTGATCGAATCAGAAATGAGGAGGTCCGCAGGAGAACCAAAGTGACCGACATAGCTCGCAGAATTGCTAAAATCAAGTGGCAGTGGGCGGGGCACATAGCTCGTAGAGACGATGGCCGTTGGGGCAGAAAAGTTCTCGAGTGGCGACCACGGGCTGGAAGACGTAGCGTGGGCAGGCCTCCTACTAGGTGGACTGACGATCTGGTAAAGGTCGCGGGAAGAGCCTGGATGCGGGCAGCGCAGGACCGTGCATTGTGGAAAACCTTGGAGGAGGCCTTTGTCCAACAGTTGACGTCATTTGGCTGAAGCGAAGCGAAGCGAAGCGATACTAACTACTGCTAGAAGGCTTCGCTCTCATGTTATATCCCATCCTAGAAATGTTATAAAGTAGCTCTTGCTAGTTACTTACAAAGACGGCAGTTGTTATAAGTGGGCTTTTGCTACAAAAAATATATCTGATGTGCTGACATCTACACGTACTTAATAACATTATAAACTTTCATAAAGTTATAAGGGAATTGTGAAATCCTATGTTACGCTTACGATATCAAAATCGATAGGCCGATCACAGCCGAGGTTTTGTAAAGAAATGGTAATATATCGGACAATTTTATCGGAACCTACGTCAAAAATGATTTATGCCACTTGCCAACCCATGGGGTGTTGTGTCGATACCCAAACAGTCAAAAGGGCGATAGGCATGTTGATATTACAAAAACTGACAAAATAGCATAAAGTAAAACGATATTAACTTCGCACTCTAAAAGTATTTTTAAGAACTAGTTAGTAGGTAGGTATCTTCTCTCTATNTGTTCACAAAATATGGTTGTGTTACGAGTGGGCTCACCACAATAGTCCAGCAGCAACGGTGTGGTTCGAACCCGCGTTTACCGGATCAAAATTCGTCCAGTCCGAGACTGACACCACTGGGTTATTGTTGCTTCGATTAAAGGCCGGTAGATCTATTGTCATAAATAAAACACTGGATACGGAACTTGGAGGTGGACCGACGACATCGTAAAGGTAGCAGGGAAGCGCTGGACGCAGGCCGCTACCAATCGATCAACATGGAAAGCATTGGGGGAGGCCTATGTTCAGCAGTGGACGTCCTATGGCTGAGATGATGATGATGATACGGAACTTTCACATTATATTGCACTGCACTTAGCACCAAAAGCGCGGGGACGTCCTCGCGCGTCCCTCTAATCTAACGTTTGCTCGTGTGACATTGACATTAAGTCAATGTCACTATGAAAACAGCTCATTGGCCATAACGATACCGTTATTTTAACGTTTTAGATTTTTCTCAATTAATACTTCTCTTAATAAAATAATAGATAACAATACCTCCTACTTTAGTATTATCCATGCGGCTCATACATAATCTTAGCCCGTACTAAATTTCAATTTACAATGACGGGGATCATGCAATTAATTATTATTCTCATAGGCAAAACTTATTTCGGTGTAAACTTAGTTATGATTTATTCTTTGAAATGCGATACTGAGAAATGAAATATTTCTTGTTATAAGCTTTTCTTAAAAATAACGAGATAATTTGTACTGAAACTTTAAGATTAAAATTGAGTTTAAATTACAAACTTTTCTTTGAATTTTAAATTAAATTATAGATGTTTTATTTATTTTTCAGGATAATAATTAGGTTTCTGATTATGAATCTGTGTAGACAGCTTAAGATAAATAATTCAAAGGCTTATTCATTTTAGAAGTAAATAACTTTATTTTGTCTTGTATAAAAATCGTTATTTATTTTAAAAGTAAATAACTAACTTGCTTTGTTTATATAAAAAACTATTTTTTTGTTGGCCGACTGTTAAATAAAATTAATTATTTAATTACCTGCACTATCAAATTGCAAGATGCAGGCCGCCACCAACCGGCCATTGTGG